AATTGTAAAATCTCCACTACTGGTGCTTATCTTGACTACGGCCATCTGCAGATGTGGCTGGGATATGTGTTCCAGGGGGTGGTGGCTCAGGCTGCGGCGTATTAAAATGCCGGCACCTACTCCACGGTAGTTGCTGGGGTGTGGGTATATATATGCAGAATATCCATATATTTTGGTGCACATGTGTATGTGTGTTTCCGTTAGGAGCATTATGTCGATGTTGTGGGTGGCGAGGAAAGTCCATAATTTTCCTGTTAAGACCATCCACATTTCAAAATCCGATCCTTAATTGGCTCATTTTGATAGGATAATCAGCGACATAAGGATGTGCTGAGTTTCGAAATTTTTATGGAGAGTATTAAGGATCTGGTACATTCTTGAGGTAAGGCTTTACATAGCACCTTCAAGAGCCGCAATTCTGGAGTTGGTATCGTCGCTCGGCATGATTCCGGGAGCTGGGCTGCCTTTCGTACGCCATTTCGTTCGGTATCTGTTAGGCGGAGTCTCTTCGCTGACTGTTGGTTGGGTTTCCCGATCTAAGCATGTGCACAATTCACACGAATTTACCAGCTATCTTGGGAGGAGGGATAAATTACATTGTAATCATATTTTGCCGAGCGTGGTTATTATGCGCCTGGTGGAGAGGAGCAGAGATTTTAGGGGCAGGCTTGCGTACCTTAATTCGGTCAATGTACCATTTGCAGCCTTTGTAATTAGCGGAGTGGCTTCCGCCTTAGTTTGCGCAGAAGAAGTCGGCTTCATGGACTGTTTTGCAAGTAGAAAATTCTGTTGCGTGCTCTTCTGCACATCTTCCGTAAATCTCCGTAATTCTGGCAGCGGCGGCATTGGACAACGTCATCAGATCGGCGGGCGCTGAACTAAGACTCCTTGACGGCATGAAAAATTTATTTTAAGCGCTTCCCTGTTGTTGGGGTCGGTTTGAGGTCCACGAAAAACATATGTACCCTCATTGATCCGTGGCATTTGAGGCCTTGCCTTTAGGATTATAGATATTTACTACCTTGTGTTCTTCATCTGGCATTTCCTTGATTATATAGACTTGGGCTGTAGAGGACGCCATCTGTTTGATGACAATGCGAAAAGGTTTGTCTTCCTGCAGTTGGTAGTGGTCGTTTTGGCATATTGTTTGGTTGTCTTCATGAATCAACTACTTTGCGGAAGGTTGGAATGTCTCTGGTGTATAGTCTAGTTAGGCCTGATCCAGTCGTACGAGTCGAGTATCTGCTACGTGAAATGACTTGGTCCAAGGCAGCCTGGAATTTGTGGAGTTATGTTATACTCGGAACCATTATTGGGCCAGTTTTTGTAGACTTAGGGGCGGTAGAGATAATGCAGGCAGAGGTAGGTCCTCCAGCGAGCTGGCTTCCGTCTTCATAGCGTCATTTTCCGTGTCTTCCTAACTTTCATCCGCTTCGTTGTCGGCAGTGTCTAGAGCTGCGAATCTATTACGCCTTTGACGAGCATCTTTTGACGTCGATGGAATGTCGTCGCTTGGCCGGCTGGCTTGGAGTGCTCTTGATGCTTGCTGGTTTGTCTCTTGGTCTTGCCTTTTTTGGTGGCTTGGCCAGGCGCCGGGGAGCTTGCGTCTGACGGTGCCGCATGTTTGCAATTCCCAAGTAGTAGAGTCAATATAAGGTACAGTACCGCCTTGTGTGTTGGTGTTAGTTAGAGGGGCGACAGGAATTTTGTTTGGCGTATCAACGGCGCAAGAAAAAAGCGGAGGCGTTTGCTGTGGTCATGATATAGAGCGGGAACAGCTTGTGACGGTAGCGAGAATTTGGCTCTCGCGAAGCACAGCTTTGTACCACTCATCTAGTCGCTTTGCTTGAACAGATAGTTCTGTACCGTCTATAGATCTTATTTTGGAGATAGACATGGGGGCAAGTTGTATATTTTCGAGTCATTGCAGTTGCTATGCGTGTCCATGCTCAAAAGCGTTATTATTTGCGCATTTACCTCAACTGTCCCAAAAAGTCTAAAAAGAGATGCTGAAAGATACAGCTGCTCTGCAAAAACGTAAGCAGTGCACGCTCAATCACACGCACATGCACTGTGAAGCACGCATGCAATAGAAAAGAAACGTTTTGCATTCGTTTCTTTGCAGCAACAGCCGCCTGCGCTGCGTTTTATTGCCCTCGGGCAAGTTGATTTTTGTTTGTTTTCTATTATAATATTAGTTTTTAAAGATATTGTAGTCGGAAATGCCGTAAACGGAATTATCCAAAACTTAAAATCTGACGTTTAGCGTCATATATTGGAACGTAGATCAGTTTAAATTGCCTTGATTTATGCACTTCCGTCGCGTTCAACTGTCGGAGAGAAGTTAGTTAAAAATCTGTAGTCAGTACATGACCGCATCTGCATCCAACCATTTCATTAATTAGGCACATAAAAGTTAATTTTAGCCGAGTTCGGAAAATAAATTTAGATAAAAACTGATTGTGGGTTCATATAACATTTGTTGAGTTAATTTTTTTAGACATATTTTGTAGTTTAATTGCTGATAACAAGCTGGTAGGATACCAGATTTGGAAATAAACAAAATAAAAAATAAAAATTAAATAAGCTGGGTTTCGTCTTTTGCGGTCTAACTAAGTGCAAACTTAATCGAAAAGATCCGGCCGGGACTGATATTGGTATGCAAAGATTTATGATGATATCGTTGAAACGACGCGACTATGTTAGTTTGCATGTATGCTTAAACTCGGCTATTGACGCGGATCAAGACAATATAGACTTTATGTGACCGGAAAATTCTTCTTCTAGGGTATAAAAAGCCTGTATCTCTTGTTATTCAATTATATAATTCATATTGCGATCGAGGACGAGAGTGCCTTGGTGGAGAAAAGGACAAATTTTCGTTTCCCATAGATATAGCAACAATTGGGACCTTACTTATTGTTATTACGAATATTTAATAAATTGGGATTATTTTTCAACAAATTCTGATTTTAAAAATTAATACAAATTAAACAATAAAAAAATTAAATTTTCAAAAAACGTTTATTTTAGGTCGCGTCGATAGACATAAAATGAATATCTATGGTAACATAGGTAAAAGAAAAGTATTTGTATTAGACAAGTTTATGCGTTTGACGTGAGTCCGGTTCGCTTCGATGGTAAAAATGTCTATTAACCTATTTTATCAGACAGAAAGTTAAATATCCAGAAATTAGTTGACACGTTTATTGCCATGTGTAAATTGTCACGAGAGCGAAGAGGTATCTTATGTGGCTTTTTCTCTCTCTCTTGTAAAGATAAGTCTATAGGATTGATCATAGCGAAATGGGTTTTCTATGTTATTGTGGTCCGTAAATTACTCTAAAAACTATATATGGTCTTACGTTACTGTTTTAAACGAATTCTTTACCGATCTCTAGTAGGTGATAAAGAGTGTTTCTTTTGTTATCAAGAGCTGTCATATTTTTATACCCTGCACCCATTAAAAATGAGTAATAAGACTATATTGTATTCGTGCAAAATGCAAACAGGCAGAAGGAAGCATCATCGACCCCATAAAGTATATATATTCTTAATCAGCAACAATAGCCGAGTCGATCTAGCCATGTCCGTCTGTCTGTCCGTCCGTCCGTCCGTCCGTCCGTATGTATGAACGCATGGATCTCAGAACCTATAAGAGCAAGAGACTTGAAATGTTAGATGTATGTGCTCCTAGTGCCTGCGCAGATCGAGTTTGTTTCTGATAATCGATAACTTGCTCCGTTTCCAAGCAATTTTGGTAAATAATAAGAGCTACAGTCACCAAACTGGACATATAGCTTCTAAAATAGAATATATATATGCGTTTGATTGTGGAAGAAGAGGGTTCAGAGTATCCCCTAGTCGGGAGCTCCCGACTAGAACCTCTGACTTGTTTTTTTTTATTTATTTGGTGTTGGAATAAGAGGGTTCAGAGTATTTCGTAGTCGGGAGCTTCCGACTAGAACCTCTTACTTGTTAATGTATGAGTATAAGCTTGGCCAGGCCGTCCGCGTTGATAACACTTGCCATATGTTTTTTTTAAGCTCCATATATACTTAATGCAGAGAACCTAGACCTCCATATTCTTATCAATATCAATATCATCGAGTAAGCCCCTACAATGTTGTCGCTCTGCTTGTCTTGCGCAGCCAATCTACATACGAGACAAATTGAATCACTAGTTTTAATAGCTACTGCAGCAACGAGTTGTAGCAAGGACCTTTAAACCAATAAAAAATTATTAACGAGAAAGAATGGCTATCTTTGGCACGCCAAAGATCTAATACCCTTGCAGACCCAACCTTTTCATAATGTTCATAGTGCTTTGTCCCTATCTAAGAAGTACCGGAAAAATAGTAAATGCCGAGTTTGGTCAAGATATCTTGAAAAACAAAATGTTTTTTCATACAAAAACTTAATTTTCGACCGATCGATCCTATGGCAGCTATATGATATAGTGGTCCGATCCTAATAGGATTTTGCATATATATGAAGAGTAAAGTAAAACTAACCACTATATCATATAGCTGCCATAGGAACGATCGTTCGAAAATTAAGTTGTTATGTGAAAAACATTTTTGTTTATCAAGATATATTGACCAAACTCGGCATTTATTATCTTTACTGTGTTACTTATATAAATGCAATATTTGATTAAGATCGAACCACTATATCATATAGCTGCCATAGGAACGATCGGTCGAAAATTAAGTATTTGTATGGACACACATTCGGTTTTCCATTAAATTTTTCATATATCCATTTTTCTATTTATTTATTTTACTATGCTCCTCTTATATACATATGCAAAATCCTATACCCAACGGGACACTATATCATATACTTAGCTCCCATTAGAACGATCGGTCGAAAATTAAGTTGTATAGAAAACATTTTTGTTTTTCAAGATATATTAAAAGGTTCATTCGGCAAGGATATTAAGTCTAACGGATATATAATTGATGATCGATCTTAATACATTTTTATATTTTTTGCAGAAACCAAAGTTTTACTTGAAAACTGAAAAACTGTTAATGTACCTGCCAATATATAAACACTAAACTACTAGCTAATCTGCTGTTAATTTAAGCTGTAGTAATATCGATGCGGAATGTAATAACAAACAAGACGTAAAAAAAGTAGGGACAAAAATAAACCACAGAACATAATGCCCATCAATCAGGATAACCCAGAGTAAGTTTAAGTTGATACATAACATATTTTCTGAATGCTCAAAACATATTACTCCCAATGTTACCAGAACTAAACCTTTAAATGGCAATGACAACAACAATGGAAATGCTAAAATAAAACCCAAGATTCAACCAAAATACAGTATTCATCGAGATGTGCTTACTCACGAAGTAGTTATTAGGGAGACAGGGTATGCGGCCAGAGACAAGAGCATACCTTCGTCCCTGCGCAGCTTCTGGCGTGGCTGGAATTTGCTATCAATCTTTACCGGCGTAATACCGATTCTACAGTGGCTGCCTCAGTATTCTGTCAAGAGGGACCTTATTGGTGATATTATATCTGGAGTTACAGTTGCCATTATGAATATACCTCATGGCATGGCATATGGAATGTTGGCTGGTGTTTCCGCTGGAAATGGGCTCTATATGGCCGTTTTTCCCGTGCTTGTTTATATGTTTTTAGGCACTTCTAAACACATCTCGATCGGTACATTTGCAGTAGCGAGTATGATGACGCAAAAAGTGGTACTGACCTATGCAAATGTGGACTCTTACGACCTTATTGCAACAACAACAGCAGTGCCGATGTTGCGGACTGACAATGCAACTACAACAATGTTACCGCCCATAGAGAATGTTATAACACATTTGGACGTGGCTACCTCACTTGCATTAGTTGTGGGTATTGTACATGTAAGTAAAACTCAAATAATCTTTCTTCTAATCAATTTAATGACCTTTGCAACCGACTACACATTTCTTAGTTTCATTAGTTCTCTTGAGAACTAAGGAGGTCTATCAGACACAGCTCGGTAATCAAAAGAGACACAGATAGCAAAGAGCGAGTACAGAGAATCACAAAATAGTTTAGTGAGAACAGCAATCTGTTCTGTTGGAACCAATCTTCCTTCAAAATAAATAAATAATCAGTCTTACGAATGATTGAGGGGCACACGGGCTGTAAGTGAATGACCAAATTCAATGTTGGATGAAAGGGGTCTTCAAGGATATAAAAATAGATCAATCCTGTACCCAACAATTAAGAGATATGTTTCTTCACCTATGCTCCCAATTAACTTGCATCATATGTAGGCTATCAATAAACTCATAAGACATAGGGGGCAAAAAAAAGTTTGAATCCATTGGCAATGACCAAGAAACTTTTGGGACAATAACGTCGACAAGAACGACCAAAAGGTCCTCATCAGAAAGTATAGAAGGGATAAAAGCGTAAAGCATTCGAAAGCTGAAGGGTACTTGGCAACTGCAGATCCCGACTAGTTGACATTTTAGGCCTTGAAGACTCATTCAACAGTTTTTATACCCTGAACCCATTAAAAATGGGAATACGGGTATATTGTATTTGTGCAAAATCCAAATGTATATAACAGGCTGAAGGAAGCATCTCCGACCCCTTAAAGTGTATATATTCCTGACCAGCATCAACTGCCCAGCCGATCTAGCCATGCTCGTCTATCTGTCCGTCTGCCCGTCCATCCATACGCCCGTATGAACGCAAGGATCTCAGAATCTATAAGAGCTACAGACTTGAAATGAGCTGTAGGTCCGCCTAGTCCATGCGCAGTGTGAGTTTGCTTGCGATAATCGATAGCTTACTCCGTTTCCAAGCAATCGAAAAAAATTCGATTTCGAAATCCTGTTTCTTACGCAAATTGGGGAAAGCTAGAGTCACCAAACTTGATATGTTGGTTCTAGAATAGTATATATATATATATATATATAGTGTATTTTTAATTTTATACCTGTCGCCACTTCCCCGCTACCACCACAAAGCTTTAAATCAGGTTAATAAACTAAGATGTATTGACCACCAATTTAAGTACCAATTAAAATGCAATTGGCTGTTTGAGAATACACAAATATTCCATGGCACAAAAAGATGTACTGTAGAAAATTTCATTACGATCGGTTAAGAAAAAGTGTATTGTCCGCGCACGAGTTAGCAGCAGCTTGCGCAAATTCCAAAGATTTGTGTGTGCATTTGCACACTCACATTTATGCGCGTCTTCTTTGAATTCTAACAACAGCATTTAAATTGCCATTGTATTGTTTTTTGTGCTGATATTTAAATTCGATTTTTGCTCATTAAGGCTCAATTATTTGCGTGGCTGTTGGGTAGGCATTTGTAAAGTGTGGTCTGTTACGAGTTCGAGATCTATCAAGGAAACATTTTATTTTTGAGTTGAATTTTCTGTTGATAGGAGAGGGTTCAGGGTATTCCCTAGTCGGGAGATTCCGACTAGAGCCTATTACTTGTTAGTTATGCTGTTCCATCCGTGAATTGAATGGACTACAAATGGGGACTCGACCTGGATCATAATTTTTAGCCGTAGAAGGATTACTGTTATTATTAGAAATGTCCTTGCCCCAAGCTTTTGGGTTTTTGGTAAGTCGTTTGCTTGATTTTGACTTTTGATTTTTTATGGGCCTTGGGTACTTGCCCTGGGATTGGGCTAGTCAGCCCGTGATTGACCCCCTTGTTGTTTGTAGCACTAAATTTTACCCTAGATTAGACTAAACAAAAAACACCCAGAATATATACTCTTTAAATCGCTCAAAAGCTCATAACCATAGACTTTAAGTATGAGATGATTACTTTATTGGTTAAAAATGATAAGTAGTTTCTTTTCAACCTTATCCCAAATACTACTCGTCGTCAAAATTATTTTTCGAGTTAACTCAAGGCAAACATTTTATTTATTATAAAATTTTGACTTTCGCAGCTTGACAATACGGGCCCAGGTTTGAGTTTCTGTTCGTTTTAATTATAATTTTCAATTTTCTTCATTTCTACTACCTATTACCACATCTTTATATAGTACATTATCTTTGCTGTCGTAATGTTCGGTGTGGTCAGGCTCACAGGCAGACTTGCTAGCACTATTGTTCATTGGTACAAGTACACCACTCGCATCGCTGCAGTCACAACCAAGGTGGGCTATTCTGGTCCAATCTGTTCGATGTAACTTTAAGGTGTGAGCTGTAATTCTTTATTTACTCACAAGTTGCTGGTGCGAATTCGATTTTTTTGTTAGAAAATTTTAGTTTTAACGCGTCGTGTTCGGATACTACAAAAGGAAAATTTTTAATTTTGAGTGCATATTCTCCTATACCATAGGCAAAATGAGTTTATATTTGTAACACACTGAACCGTTGAAAATGGGTAAAAAGTGTATAATGTATTGTGCAAGTGTATGCCACAAGAAGAAGGAAGCATCCATACGACACTAGAGTATGTATATTCTCTATCAGCATCAATAGCCGTCTGCCTGTCTGTGAATGCGACTCTCTCAGAACCAAGAAAAGCTAGAGACTGAAATTTTAAACGTAGATCCTCCTTGTGCCCGCGCAGTACGATTTTGCTTCCGATAATCAATAACTTGATCCGTTTCCAACCATTAAAAAAGTCGATATCGATATCCTGTTTTTATCATCCAATCTCAATGGCTACCAGCTAGTTTGATTTATTAGTCATAAATTTAATTTTTACAACACAGAAAAAAATACAATCGCAATGATAAAGATGTGGATGGGCATGGATTGTCAACATAATGTTGTTTTTTCTCAAAAAGACAATAGCATTAAAATTGTGTCTTAAATTGATAAGTTTGATTTATTTAGTAAACTTATAGGGACAATGACGAAGGACGGAGGGTGGCGAAGGCTATAAAGTGATCATTCATTATACCTTGAACACATTAAAAATGGGTAAAATATACATATATATATTCTTGATTAGCATCAATAGCTGAATCGATCTAGCCATGTCCGTCTGTCTGTCTATCCGTCCGTATGTATGATGGCCATGATATCAGAACCTAGAGACATGTTAAATTTGTTGTCTCGAACTCCTAAATTTGCTCCAGAAACAGGCTTTTGATCTTTATCGAATTGCGAAAGGGGACATGTAATAAAAAAACCTTGTATTGCGCGGGCACTAGAAGGACCCAAAGTCAAAATATCTCAAGGTTATATTGGTTCTGAGATTTATTCATACGTTTTTGATTTTGGGGTTGATTATTATTTTTTCTTGCTGGTAGTAGTTTTTATTTGAGTTTGTTCACTTTCGATAAGTGGGTACAATTGAGCTGCTAATTAGTAGAATTCCATCTTTTTGAGAAAAGGGAGTCGGTTTTTTCGACATATTTATTAACTGACTGTTTAATCAAAACTTAAAGCATACAAGTTAAATAAAACAAGTACGAGGCTTTAATCGCGAGCTCTCGACTAGGGGATACCCAGAACCCTCTTCTTCCAACACCAAATGCAGCTAGCGCTCGCTTGCTTTTGTATTAGTATTAATAAATTTTAAACAAATATATAGTTTCTTCGGTAGGGTTCGTACTCGCAACGGACCACACTACTTGCTGACGCCTCTACTTGACAGCCACTCCTATTATTGATCTTAATGAGAAAAAAAAAAACAAATTAGAAAAGCAGCACACAAAACAACATAATCGCAGTTGCAATGCTGTTTATAGAATTCAAAGAAGTCACGCACGAATGTGTGTGTGTACATGTAAAATAAGTTGTCTGCCTGACGTGGTCTTCCTTCTCGAGGTATGTTGATTCTTAGGCAGTTGTAGTTATTCCTAGCGGGCCTCTTCTTTGGTTGGTTGGCGTCGAAGGTGGTAAGTCGCTAGGTAATGAAGACTGTGGAAGATTATGTTCGGAATGCTTAAGCTTTCCTATGGCTAGCCTTGTGGCTCAACAATAAAAGATAAAAAGAGCGCGTTCGACGGTTACTTAAGGATTAAGCGCGAGGGCTACTTATTTACTTATGTACAGAAATTTTAGCAATTTGTGCCAATTGCCGTGAATGCGCGGCCGGCCCAAACACATTTTCTATAGTAACGTTTGTGTTTCTTAACCGATCTCTATGAAATTTTCTACAGTACTTATTATACAGACAGACAGACGGACGGACAGATCGACTCGACTATTGATTCTGATAAAAAATATATATACTTTATGGGGTCGGAGATGCTTCCTTTTGAACAGATTCAATACGATCCTGACTCTTGTTATACTGCGGGGGCCAGATGCAGGACCAATATTCACGGATACAGTTAACAAGAGAGATGTACAGTTTCGTTATAAAAGGATCGTTAAACTCTTTATACCATAGTTTAATGAATCCAAGTTACACATTTTCACTCATTAACAATGGTATCTATATGAAGATTTAAGCAGAGTTTAGAGCCCGACCCCATTAAACATATACATATATTCTTGATCAGCATCCATAGCCGAACGATCTATCTATGTCCGTCCGTCCGTCCGTATGTATGAACGCAAGCATATCAGAAAATATAAATGATAGAGAATTTTAGACATCCTGTTTTTTTTGGGTAAATATTAAGTCACCATACTTGATATTTTTATTCTAGAATATTATAAATATTTTTGTTCTCTCAATAATACTTAATTATTGATGTGTCTGTTACGGTCTGTCGGAAGTTCGATCCCTACAGGCAAACATGGTTTTTAATTTTTCTTTATTACTTCAAACGAGAGCGTAGCGCGAACTGCATTTGGTGTTGGAATAAGAGGGTTCAGGGTAATCCCTAGTTGGGAGTTCCCGGCTGAACCTCTTACTTGTTATTTCTCTTTTCCGTCATATTCTCTATAATACTCAATGTATTAAAGCATAATTGAATTTGTACATACAATTTTTTGCAATTTGCCCCGTGTGTACTTCAAACGGACAGAAGGTTGCGCACTACGCAATTCTGCTCTACACATTTTCAATTTCACTTTCTTTGAAAAGCTGCTCAAATTTTCTGAATGTAAATGTTTATTTGCCATCGCTGGTGATGCAAACAGAATTGCCAAAAACAAACATTGCAGTTCCTCACAACTAGCCATCCATAATAGCAAAATTTTATACATGCAATGGTGGATTCCCATGTGTGTATGTAGCGTATTGGGTGCTTAGATCCCTTTTGAATTTAAAATTATTTTACGGACCGCGCACGATTCCTATGATTGCTTTTATCATTTCATGTAAAAACCATTACAGTCAATAAAATGTTGTCGTAAATTTTTCAGGTACAGAATCCACTGGTCTATTCCCTTGGCATATCTTTCATTCTCAATATCTATCTAAATATGCGCAGTCCTTTGCAATCATAAACGGTATACTGAGAATATACTGAAGGAACTTTTTGCCTAATAAGGTTCTGGTACGCTTTTCAGGCAATTGTAAGAGAGAAGATGGAAATCCATCTTTTGATGCGTCCGCATGTATTTTCGTTCTACCATCTTTCTGGTATATTGGTGTTTGTGGGTATCACCAAAGACAATATAAACACTAAGATGAGTAACGTAATGAGTAACGCCCATACATTTGAATGCGACGCAAAATTTCGAGCCTGGCCTTTCATCTGGCCTTTGAGGCTTCGTACGACATGCCTGCCGACTGGTTGTTCGTTCTCCAAAGACCAGACGAACGAATGCCGAAGTCGCGGCTTGCTGATGCTGACACGAGCTACGAAGTTAATCGCCAACCTGCCTTCAGCAAAGCTGGTCGATTCTGCTTTGCGTTGCTTCGTTTTCGAAGTACATTGAGCGAAAAAGTTTAGAACTTACGATCGCCGCAAAGTCCTTGTGTTTTATCCATGAAATGCATGCTTTATTTAAATGATATATTACCCTAGATATTAACAAATAATTTTACAGGAAAATTAAAGAACTTATATAATTTTTACAGAAGGCACACATATATTGATTTCACCTTTCTTTTTGGACATTGTATGCTCGAGAAAAGTTCTTGTCTCAGCCAATAGCGTGCGTGCACCTTTGGTTGTATGCGTGAATTATACATGCATAAGAACTATAAATTATGTATGTATGAGTTTTTATTCATTGCTGTGGCCTTAGCTGGCAAGAAATTAATTTTGTTAGTTTTCTTACGCAGATCACGACCTATCCCAAATTTGTGTTGATATATGATTTTGTTCTTTATAATTCGAACAAAAAAATAATAAATTAAGAAAAAAAAAATTAATTAAATGTATCTTTGAAAACAACAAATTTGCACTTTTATTTCCTTAATTTATTTTGTATTACTTAAAAATAATGATAATTTAATTAATAATTTCAAATATAAAAAATTACATAAATATTTGCATCGACTTAAAAATACATATTTTTGACGAAGCCAACCTCAGTACACAAAATGCCTTCATATATCAACAGAAATTTGGGTAGGTCGTGATCTGCGCTAAAAACCTAAGAAAATTGTTTCTTTGCCAGCCAGAGACTTTGCCAGAGAAGTGGATAACAACACATTCAAATATGCTGTTATGTATGTATGAATGTTCGTTTTCGTTCTCAATTTTCAAAAAATAAAGCTGCATAGTAGCATTTTGTTGCATGGCGTTACTCATCTTAGTGTTTATATTGTCTTTGGTATCACCAAACTGCTAACAAAGTTATAGGGAGTTGTAAATGACCCCACAAGTCACACGTTTATTTGCTGCTTAACAGCTTCGGCATCGATGAAACCGAGTTGTCTTAACGCTTGTCAATATAATGGTATTTTGGCATTGAACTGTAATCCCGATCGAACTGGCACCGAATGTAAGCATTAATGTGTTTTTTTAACAACCTTAGAACTATATCAATTATTTTCTTATGGAGCGAAAACCGGCTGCTTTCATCGTCAATGTGATTTAAATACAAAATCAAACCCCAGCAGAACATCGCCTCTAATGGCCTTTTGGCGTACAATACAACAAATAATTAGAATGCGATAACTTGCTTAAACACGCTTAAACAGTATATATTTTTGAGATTTGTCTTTTTACGAACACAGAATCACTTTGGCCACTTCTTATAAGGTTTCCATTGCTAAGTATTATGAACGCATATTATTTAGCATCATCATTATTTCTTTTGGAACATTTCGACCGTAGTTTTTGGCTTGTAATAATGTTGACGGTGGGTACTCTGTAGCTTTCATATTTGCAAGACTTGATACTTCTGCTACGGGCGAACGCTGCTAGAAACCCTCAATGCATAAAATTAATTTAAGATCTTGCCTATTTTGTTTACAATACGTTTTAGCACCTGCTGCTGCTTTGCTGATATTATCAATTTAATTTTTCGTTTCAGTTGCTCATGTCCTTTTTTAGGCTAGGCACGCTTGCCTCACTGCTGAGTGAACCACTGGTAAATGGATTTACCACAGCCGCCGCGTTTCATGTCGTCACTGCACAGCTGAAGGACGTAGTGGGCATTAAGGTGGAGCGCCATAAGGGCGCCTTCAAAATTATCTACACTGTGATAGATGTGGTGAAAGGTGTACCAGATACAAACCTCGTTAGCTTCGGCTTCTGTGTGGGGGTCATCATTTTTATGACTATATGCAACGAGTGCATAAAGCCGTGTTTAAGTAAACGATGTCGTTTCCCTCTTCCCGGAGAGTTGATCGTTGTTATTGGGGGAACATTGATCTCAAAATTCTGTCAGTTACACGAAGAGTTTAATGTGCAGTTAGTAGGTACAATACCAAGAGGATTGCCAAATCCAACATTACCACGTCTGGATCTGGTCCCACTGGTAGCAGTTGATTCTATTGCCATTGCAATAGTTACCTATTCTATTGTAATGTCAATGGGTTTGACATTTGCCAAGAAACATGGCTATGAGGTGCGTGCTAATCAGGAGCTCATTGCCATGGGTGTGGGTAATGTTGTCGGTGGCTGCTTTTCTTGCCTACCATTAGCCTGTTCTTTGTCCCGTTCAGTCATACAGGATCAAACGGGTGGAGTTTCTCAAATAGCTTCGTTGGTATCTGCCTCCCTAGTGGTCGTAACATTAATGTGGATAGGACCCTTTTTTAGTGCTTTGCCTAGGGTAAGTTGAATTAAATATCAAATCGCGCTTACACTAACATTGACACATTAACAATTTTTAGTGCGTTTTGGCTGGCGTCATAATTGTTGCGTTAAAGCCAATGTTTATGCAGATCAAGGAATTGAAGAAGTTCTCCAAGCAAGGCAAACTCGAAATGTTTACCTGGATATCGACATTCTTGTGTGTGGTGCTCATTGACATTGATATTGGGTATTTAATATAATATATATATTTTTAATTTATCATATATATATATATGATAAATATATATATATATATATATATGTATATATCAACACTCATTATTTCTTTCAGTCTGCTTATTGGCGTTTGCGTATCTTTACTGGCATTGTATATTAAGGGCCTTAAGCCTTATTCATGCCTCCTTGGGTACATGCCCGAAGCGCCTGGTATCTATATGGACATAAATCAACATCGTAATGTAATGCAAGTGCCAGAAACTTGCATCTTTCGCTATTGTGGCTCTCTCAACTTTGCCACAAGCCAGTTCTTTCGTCGTGCTCTCTATGAGTCTTTGGGACTTGATAAGAGCAATACCAGTAGCAGCCAAACTGACAAGGCAAGGACAAACTATGTGCTAGTTGCTCAGAACGGTGCCAACGAAACCAATGGTCCAATTGTTGACTATTCGTTTAAGTTTCTAATACTGGATTTTTCCATGTTGGGGCACATCGATGTAGCCGGATGCAGCACATTAAGTGATATCAATAAGGAGCTAAAGGCGCGTTGTGCTCGGCTGCTGCTTGCTAATCCCATGGACCGCGTGTACGACACACTAGTACATAGCATGGCCCTTCGCGAAGGTCCATTTGAAATCTTCCCTACGTTACACGACGCCGTAGAGTATGCGATTGCCTGCCGAAGTTCGTGAAAATGAACAAGTAATGTGCAGCACGGGAAAATAACTTAATAGCCGTAACACCAGCTTGCGGCTATCCACTAAAATCTTAAGCTAATTTGGCAACATTATCTTAAGGGTCTGACCTTACTGTCAATGTTACCTACTATATTTTGTACTTAATGCCTTAGAGGTATGGTCAGAATGTTCAGTAACTTAAAATAAACACCTCCGAGTAACAGAAACTGTAATAAAATGTGTCTTATGAAATGTATACTAAATTTAGATCCTAAGCTTGTACAAAGCAATATGTGAACTTATATAAATATGAATTTATAATGTTGTATAAATTACACTATGCACAACTGACTGATCTTTTACGTGATCTAGTACATATTGTGAGTGTGTGTGGGGGAATGTTCAAGCTGATGGTGTCGAAACATATTCTGTAGTTTAGGTGGATAAAGTTTGATTCCTATAACATTTTTAGGAAATACATGTCACCCGAATGTGCGATATTCCGTGTCAAAATGATGAGATGGTAACTTACATTTTTTTCAGCTGCGTAGCTTTTGGTAAAGTTAAAATTGTTAAAATCTCACTTTCGTTTTAAGCTGCCTAGGTCACGGCTTGCGCTAATTACCTAACTCAGTCAAGGTTTTATCATTGGCCACCGAAAAAACATCACCTAACTTAAATTTGATAAAAGCGATCATCCCCCATATAATAAATCTTCTAGAGGTATTCGTCTCAAACTGCAACTCAAAATGGCTTCTGTATTGTTACAATTACAGTTGATTTTTAAATTTTTGAATACAAACTATTAGTATTGCTCTCAATCGTAGAATGATGAATTTAATTATTTTAAAAGCTTCTGAAATGGATGGAGTTTTTAAAACGGTCTGATTAAAAAAATTAGATTTTCACAAAAATCCTTTTAAATGAGTATGAAGGATCCTTATAATATTACTACCTCTAGTCGTTGCTACAAACATTTTATTACTCTCCTGGGCCTGACAAAATCCCTACTTATCTACTCAAGGTATGAAGCAACTTCCCTTGTTCTTTCATATATAAAGCTTTTTAATCTACCCTTTGTGTCTTCTGTGCTTCCAACTTTTTGCAAAGAATCTTATATAAATCCTTTACACTAAAAAAGTGGAATGTCTGATAGAAAAATTTATAGGGACATTGCAAAATTGCCCGCTAACCTAAAATTGTTTGAAAAATAATCATTCAGCAAATCAGATGCCTGCCCTGCTCATCCTGCTCAAGAGTCGGTTTACTACGACCAACCTGCTTGAAATTACTTCATTGGTAAAAGATGCTTTGCTTTCTAGAATGCAAATAAATGTCATTTACACCGACTTCAATTAGGCGTTTGACTATGTGCATCATTACCTTTTACTTTGGAAGCTTGGCCGTTTTCCCCGCCTTCCAAAAGATAGGACCCAAAGAGTCATGTTAAGGTTGAATACCTCCTAACAGGTTCACGTTATTTTTGGTGAGCCTCAAAGCAGTCATCTTGGACCTTTACTTCTTATTCTTTTTATAAACGATCCCCTTCTGTTATATCACATACCTATGTATCTATGTAAACGATGGATGTGAAGCTTAAATTTTCATTCACTGATCTACATAATTCTCGTCTGCATCGCTGTGCCTAATGCAATTGATCTTAATTGCTCAAAGTGTATGTTTATAACTTTCAATTGTACTATACCTTATATTGCCACTTATACAATCGAAAATACTTCATTGTAACGTATTCTAACATTTAAGAACTTATATGTTCTTTTTAATTAAATCTCTGCTTTAATCTTCATATAGCGACCATTCTTAATGACGCAAATGGTGAACTTGCAATCATTAAACGTTGGTGTAAGGAGTTTTAAGATCCCTTCATAAGCAAACTTCTAAAACCTTTCTTGTACGCCTTATCCTTGAATATTGTTCTTGTATCTGGTCTGATAATAGCCAAGATCTTCCGTTGTTAACCAACTGTATGATAATCGACGGGGTTGTCTACCTACATAAGTTGTTGGTGATATTGATACTTATTTTATGTTATGGCGTCTTTAATTCTCTTCCTGGGTCTAATTTTAATAAACAATTTGGAAATACAAAGTAAGAAGAGGTGGAAAAGTAAGGTTATATAAATTGTATATATACAGGTATTTATGCATTTGGTATGCAATTATGTCAAGATAAAAAGTTTTTGGGATTTTTTAATCACCGTGTTCGCTTATTGTAGTAACAGTTCCACTGAATAAGCAGCTTCTTATGGGCCTGCAAGTGTTGTCGGCTGTTTCGCAATTACTTCCTCGCTAGTACTGCGATGCGTGTCGACAAGTTTTTGTTCTGTGAGTATTCTGTCTAAAAAAGAGTCATTCACGCAAAATTATGCTGCATGTTTCAAGCGAAGAAAAAACGCTACTATTGAGTCCTCTAGCTCCGGAATTTAAAATTCTCTGCGCAAACGTTTGCCACTTTTATTCACCCTTACATAAAAGTGGTGGTCAGCATCAGGGATTTTATTTAGTTAAGAGTAGAGTAGAGTTTTCTCCGTCTATGAAGTGGCACACCTGCATTTTGATTCGCGTGTTGCACTGCTGACTGAATAGCAGTGAAGTGAATGAGAATTAGTGAACTGATGAGGTTTTGTAGTTGGACGTTAGTGATGCTCAATTTGACTATTTCTGCCACCTATTTTCTTATTTCATTTTTAACTTAGATGATTTCATAAGAAGTGTAGAAAGCTATTTTATCATAAAAGTAATGTAGAGCCTAAATGAAGATCAAACATAACACAATCCCTTTAAATTTTTCATATTTAAATTTTTTTATTATTAAATTTGAAAAATAAAATTTGTGTCACAAAAAAAAAATGGCTCTCTTACTCTTACTCCTTTGTTCTCTGAGCAAGTGAGCAAGTCTCGGACCCCACCATAATCTACAATAACGGGGGATTAGAGCTTTAAAAATGTATGGCTACCAACATGTCTTCAAGCTGTCCCATCTTTAAGCTATATCGTGGGTGGCTTGTTCATTGCAAAGTGAAGCTGACGCTTGGCGTCGCCATCTTTTGACCCTTTCTCGCGGGCTTATATCTCATGGTAAGAACTCCCTACTTACGAATAATTATTCCTCGCTCCTGCTAAAAGGGTAAAAGGATTAAAGGTGCAGAGGGTATTATAATTTTGTCGTGAGATGTGTAACGCATAAAAGGAGACATTCCGAGCCCATAAAGTATATATATTCTTGATCAGTATCAACAGCCGAGTCGATATAGCCAGTTTTCTCAGTTGTAAAGCAATTTTTATGAAAGTTTGCAGAAGTCCCTGTTTCTGTTGCACGCAGCGCATATGTGAAAACCAGCTGGATCGGACCACTATATCATATAGCAGCCATAGGAACGATCGGTCGATAATTATGGTGTTGAATGCAAAAAAATGTTGTTTTCCAAGATATCTTCACAAAACTCGGCATTAGTTTTACTATACTCTCCATATATATGCAAAATCCTATTAAGGTCGGACCACCATACCACATAGATGCCATAGGAAAGATCGGTCGAAAATTAAGTTGTACGAAAAATAATTTTGTTTCTTAAGATATCTTGACCAAACTCGGCAGTTGTTTTACTATGCTCCTCATATACTTGTAATATCCTTATAAGATCGGACCACTATATTATATAGCTGACATAGGAAGGATCGGTCGAAAGTTAAGTTGCATGGACAATTTGTTTTGCATTTATTAATTTATTTATGCTCCTCATGTATATGCAAAATCTTATCAACATCAGACCACTACATCATATAGCTGCCACAGGAACAATCAGTCGAAAATTAAGTTGTTGTAAGGAAACCAGTTTTGTCATTCAAGATATATTGATTAAACACAGAATCTAAAAATTTCACTATGCTCCCTTTATTTCTGCAAAATCTTATTTAGATCGGAGTATTATATATGATAGATAAATATCTACCATAGAAACGATTGGGCGAAAATTATGTTTTTCATTCAAATCCTATTTTGTTTATCAAGATATCTTGACCCAACTCGGCATGAACTATATTCCATGTGCTTCGTAATACGAGCAAAGTACTATGAGCATTATGAAAAGGTTGTGTCTGCACGGGTATTAGATCTTCGGCGTGGCGAAGATACTTTCTTTCTCGTTTTTGTTTAAAATTAACATTTAATCGGTCCACTCCAGCGTGTTGTACTTCATATTATTTCATGTCAAGACTTTGAGATGACGCCTCCTGTGGTCTACTGATAAGCCTTACTTTATATGGAGGTCTGTCATCGTGTATTGTTTCAGGCCTTTCAGGTACTCCAGGATTTGGTCCCGGATGTCTACCATTGGCGTGCGCGCGAAGCAATTCCTGGGTGGGTAAACATCTGCGCTCGGTGAGGGTATGTCACCTCCCCCCGTTACCCGACGCAATCGAATCCTCTAGCTCTTGGCCTGGTTCATGCACTTAAACGCCCTCGAGCAGGTCAGATATTTTGACCATATTTGACACTTATAAGTTTCACTATGCTTCTTACACTTATGCAAAATCTTGTTTAGATTGGATCAGCTGCCATGGATATAGCTGCCATGGGAACGAACGGTCAAAAATTAGGTTCCGAAATGTAAAACTTTTTGTTTTTCTAAATATTTTAGCCATACTTGGCATTAACTATTTCCCCTGTGCTTTTTAGATACGGTCAATGCACTATGAGTATTATGAAAAGGTTGGGTCTGCAAGGGAATTAAATCATCGGCTTGCGGAAGAAATTACACTTTTCACGCTTTCCGCTGTATACCGTCTAAGCTGTGAACCTGATCGCCGAGCAATGTTGGCTCTTCCGTGGTTGTAACATTCTTCCGACTTCTCCGAGACCATCGCCCTTGGGACCTCCTCCTCGCGGTAAAGCGATTAAGGGCGGGCAGACACTGCTGTACCCCTGCTGGGAGTATTTTCTACGTATTTACGATCTATGAGCTTATTGTAGTAACCTTCCTCTTCTCTGTCCCT